AGTGCTATCATAAAACAACCGCAGTTACAGGACCTTTAATAACGGCATTGCTAATATACAGCCGGGTAAATTCTGGTAAAATCTGGGATTTATTACTATTTATAACTTTTAATTAAGTAATGTAGGAAAGTTTGTCTTGAAAAATAACTTGAATTTAACGTTACTTTACACTTATTATAATTTTAAATTTACTATATATTATTATTTTGTTTTTATTTAATATATTTAATTAATAGTGTGTGTGGTTTGTTATTTAATTTATCTGAGTCCGACCTTTCTTGTCTACGAGAGTTTAGGTGAGAAGAAGGTAGAGATATATCATATATATAAATATATATATATCATAATTTATTTAGGTTATACGCGTGTGTAACAGAGTGTTCGTTTGTTTCTAAGGACTTTGTGTAAGTACACAGCAGGTGACAGTTATGTTTCGGTCTACGGAGTGTCCGGTATAGGTAGACAAAAGCTTCAAAGCCGTCCTTGTGGTTGTACAACGTAATGACGTACAACGGCCTCGACAATTTCTGTAGTCCTATTCAGCCACTCGGTAACAACCATCGTTTTTCAGACACGTAAACTCTTCAAAAATCACCAGTGGGGTCACTGCTGATGTATTTAATGTCGTAGAACAAAACGTGATTTATCTCTTAAATTTGTGTCAACCACAGACCTTATTTCGAGCGATTTTCCAAAACCCTATGGAGAAAATGCATTGCTTTTTGACGAAGGAACCGGAAGTGCTCAAAATGCTAATTTACTTCCGGGTTTTATGACGCGTCACTGCGGTTCTCTATTATCGCGGACTTTATGACAAGTTCCGCCCGCTGTGAAACTTTTCTTGTTTCCATAGCAACAACAACTTCCTGTCAACAGCGTTAACTCGCCTTCAAAATAAAAGCATGCCAAATTACACTTAAGACATACAACTGCAACGAAAGTAACAAACACAATGCAATATCCTTTTCAATTTCAAAGAACACAAATAGGGTTATTTACAGGTGTTGTTTTGTGTGGTAGAGGGTCGCTTTCATTGATGCGTTTTGCACCCCGGGCCGTTGTTTTGATATTCCGCTGAAGTATACGCTGTGACGTAATAACTTGAGGGAAGGGGTGGGGGTCAGAGGGCCTAGGTATAAAAGTCACGGCTCGCCCATGGTTCTGACCTAGTAAAGCCTGATCAAAGATACTCAGTTAGGCACATGGCCAAAGTCATATTGTCATATTGTCATATACATATGACACGTTGGGCTTGAGGCCTTGGCCGCACACTTTAAATTCTAGCAGCCTATCAAAAAGCTGTCTTTAATTCTAACCTGAAGGATTTATATACCACCTAGTTGGTTCGAAAGACTTCAATCATTTATTTGCAAGCTTGGGGAATAGGTCACGGTGGATGTACAAGGAAACAAACACAGTACTTTTACCGAGGAGGCCACTGTTTGTGTCCTGTATGGAACAAAATCAAGACGTTGATTGCTTTAAAGCAGGGGTGTCCAACCTTTTTTGAACCAAGAGCTACTTTTAAAGTTGCCAGACTGCCGAGATCTACCAGTCCAAATAGAGAGGTGTAGCCATTACTGACAGGCTACTACCAGGTAAATACACACTTCTACTGTATAAAACTGACCTTTGTACAATTAATACTTCATAAAATACTGCATATCCTTTATATTACCTCTTTCTAATCTACACACATACAAGTATTTAACTGAAGTTACACAACAGTGTTGTTGATACAGAGTTGGAGTTTATTCACACGTCACATACCACAGTGGGTAATGTTTTCAAGAAACATTGAACAGGGCTGCCACATATGACACAGGAAAAAAAGAAAAGACTCTGAACCCTTTCTTTGCCATTATATAAAAATAGTGTCGCTACAAAAGTTTAAATTAGGCTTACTAATAAGACAACTCAGATCTGAAGCAACACAGGAATCTGCTGCCAAAGTGCAATAAAAAAGACAAAATTAATAGAATCAAACCCTTTTTTTGTTGCACTTTAGTAGAGTATAAAAATTAATGCCTTTTAAAATAGGATGCAAGCAACATTCTTAACCTGAATAGATAATAGACTATAATCAATTTAAGTTTGCTTTCTTATACCATTGTGTACAATAATTATAATGAATAAGTTCAAACAAACTAAAACGTACAGCTGATTAATAACGGTATCTAACTTGAGTTTTTATTATATCAAAAACCTGTTGAAATGCTACTGTTATTTTTACTGTCCCCCAAAAGCGCGTCGACAGCCTCCAGGAATGCTTCTTTCACAACTTCGCCGTCTTTGAAAGACTTCATGTGTTTCGCAAGAACGTGACTGACACGATAAGATGCTATGGTAGCAGCCTTGCTCTTGTTGTTGGGCCTGGTGAAAATGGACTGCTGTGCATTTAGCTGTCCTTTCAGGTCCCTCCCCTTTTGGGAGCGTCGGGCAGAATTAGGAGGGAATTCCGTCTCGTAGCATTTGTGCACTGTTTTGAAATGCCGCTCCTAAATTACCCTTCTTCGATAAAGCCACGCTCGCATTGCAGATGAGAGACAGATGGACTTTGAATTGGAATAGATACAAACATAATCATCCTCCCACTCTGAGTGAAAATTATATATTTTGGGCTTTTTTGCTTCTGCCATAATTGCGGTCTTGTGTGTGTGCGGACTGTCACTCCTGTTGACACGGACAACGTCAGCGAAATAGTGTCCACTGCCCACCAGCCACGCCCCGACACATGGGGTCACGCCGGCCAATCACAAAGCTTTGATGCGTTCAAGTGCATTATTCTGGCACAGGAAGATTATGTTATAGGACATTAACAATAAAACTGAATATTGTGAAAGCACCCGTATCCGGGGGACTTGTAATTTGCAGCATCAAAAATCTCTGCTTTGTCAAATTTAGAGATGGAAAATAATTCTGGATTCAGCTTCAAGCACATTTTACACCTCAATCCTTATGTTTTAAATAAAGGCTATAAAGGGAGTCGTACT